CGCTCTTTCTCTTGTTCTCCCTCCCCATTCCGCCCGCCAACTCTCTCTTTCTCTCTCTCTCTCTCTCTCTCTCTCTCTCTCTCTCTCTCTCTCTACCATCATGAGCCCTCGAGTGTAAATAACAAACTACCGACGCGTCGCAGTTGATCGCTGAAAGCGCGCGTTAATTAACTTAGTACCTCTTTTATTTCCGCTGTGTGTCGCGCTCGCGCGTTCCTCCCCGACGACGTCGATACACGCCGTCCTCTACGATCGACAGCTCCAGCGAGACGGTTTTTCGTCGTCGGCGTTCGAAGGTGAGAGGAGTAAGTCCTCCCGTTTACCACCAGCCGAAGCCCCCGATTATACACAACTTATCGTCTAGTTGTATTGTAACAAATATTGCCTCGAATATAAAGTTTGTGTGTGTGTTTCCTTATTTAAATTATTTCTCATTTACCTTAGGTATTTCTCGCTCTCTCGCTCTTTCTCTCTCTCTCTCTCCCTCACGTTCTCTCTGTGACTTTCTCTCCCACTCTATCTCTCTCTCCCACTCTTGCTCTCGCATTCTCTCCCTTTCTCTCTTGCTTTCTCTCACGGGCAATGGACAAAACACGGCGGGTATATTCATCTCACGCATCTCAAAAGGGCGCGGCCCCTTTATTATCTTACGTTTACGTATGGCCGAGTCAAAGTCTATATTTATTTTTAGTTTAGTTAGTCGTTTGGTTCGCATCGCAAAATTTGTTCGGAGATCTAAAACCATTCTTATAAAAACGCCTCTCGGCCCGACAAAATATTGCCGAGGGACACTAATATATCGTGTACGTGGGTGTACGTGTGCATGTGTGTGCACGTGTGTTTTACGTGTGTTACTGTGTCCCTTTCCCTTTCTTTCTCTCTCTCTCTCTCTTTCTCTTTCTCTCTCTTTGTATATCGTCTGTGGCTGTGAGAGTATGCATGTGTGCATGTGAGGTGTATGTGTGTCGTCGATTTCATTGTTCCTCATTGTTTGTCTTGTTTCTTTTCTTTTCTTCGCTTTTGTTTCGATATATAAAATTCAGCTTCGCAGAATCCGCGATCTGACGAAAAGTGCTGTAAGGGAGTGCCACGGCGCTCGTCGAGCGTGGTGCTTCGCTTTGTCTCGTGTTAGTACGTTTGTGTGTGTGTGTGTGTGTGTGTGTGTGTGTGTGTGTGTGTGTGT